ATGAAAGATATTGTACAGAGGGGTTACAGTGACATGAATAAGGTAATGAGTACATTTCTTGTAGAGAACAGTTACCCCTTCCTTTGTTTTTCTCCTACCATCCTTTCCCTTCCCACCTCTCCAACTTCTCCCTCTCCCACCCCAGAAGTTGTAAATTTCATTTGCAACATATTTTCTTGTACATCTCCTTACAATGGGTCAACCTGTATCCTTGTTTCAGCATTTTGTTATTTCCCTTCCCCTCCCCAAATTAGAAAAATGTATATATAAGATGCAGGACACCAGAATCAAATGCAGTGAAAACAGGGGTTATGTCATCAGGGAAGAACATGCAAAAGAAACAAAAAAAATCACATGGTACATTATAAATCCATTAAAAACACCAGCAAGAAAGATAAAAATTCTTGTATCCTTATCTTGGGGTTCATTTCGCTTAGCATCATGTTATATGGTCACATGTACATAGCTTCTGACTTTTTCTGCTTGTCCTAGACATACACTAGTTATTGCAGATAAGGGAAACCAAAGGACCTATGTTTCTTTGGGCCTGGCTTACTTCACTTAATATAATTTTTTTCCAAGTCTTTCCATTTCCTGACAAGTGGGGCAATGCCATTCTTTCTGATGGAGGCCATAGAATTCCACTGTATGTATATGTATATATATATATGTATATACATATATATATATATATATACATATACATACATTTTCTTTATCTATTCATCTACTGAGGGGCATCTGGGCTGGTTCCATATCTTAGCAGACCTATTTTTTAATTAATCTATTTATTTATTCTTGCCAGTCCTGGGACTTGAACTCTGGGCCTGGGTGCTGTTTCTGTGCTACTTTTGTTTAAGGCTAGTGCTCTACCCCTTGAGCCACAGCTTCATTTGTTTTCTAGTTTTTTTTTTTTTTTTGATTAATTGGAGATTAGTCTCAGAGCCTTTCCTGCTTGGGCTGACTTCAAACTGTGATCCTCAGATCTCAGGCTCCTGAGTAACTACCAGACCTGTATTTAAAGAGAAAGCGGACTCGAATGGGTCCAGTATTTTCTTAAACCAGTGTACAGGAATCTGGATAGTATTGCATGGAGCACTACAGTAGGAATTTGAGTTTAGCACAGGTCATATCCCAACATTTTGACATTCCTTTAGTGTCACCTGGGAAGGAAATGAAGATGGAGCTGCTTTTTCTTTAGTCCAATGTATTGACCAAAGTATATTTTCAAGCACAAAACAAAGACTTCTTTTATGTCCTGTGATGATTTATCATAACTAAAATGAATTAGGTAGTCACACAGTTGATAACCATGTTTGAATGAATGTGTTTCTCAGGCAAATATATTGTTGATATAGTGTTGATACAACAGAATGTGTTTTTCAATGTCTGTATTTTTGTTAAGAAGGTTTTCATTCTAGGGACAGAGTAATAGCCATGAAATGTGACCTTGCAATGACAATTTTTAATGCATGGTGTCAGCAACTGAAGCAATGTATGACAACTTCCCTTCCTTTATTGCCATATATAATAGAGTGTTTATGTTGTGCTGGTGTTTATCTAAATGTTGAGGTTGTCTGTAGGTTAAAGCTGTTTTTTAAAGAGGTCAGATATAATTTTGACTGAAGGTAAAGCCTCTAATAAATTCTAGTGTTAATGGAAAAGAGAAAGGATTCCTTAAAATTAACTAAGTACCAAAGTATTTCTTGCTTTCAGAAACCAAAATAATGACTAGTTAAACACACATTTGAACATCTTTGAAGATACAAATAAATATTTCAGTTTCTTTTTTAATCCTCTTTTTACTTCTGCTTTTGCTTCTATAAGAATTTTCTTGTCCCTATCAATTCTTAATTACATAGTTTGGCATCCTGCATTTAAATTACTGGTATTTATTCTAAAGCAAATTACTTCAATCCTGCTAATTTTAAAAGATTCAAGAAACCACTTTTGCTTTCTTTTTTAATGGTCTCTTCTTGGTTATTTACTGTTTTTTTTCCTCTGGCAATGCTGTCCTTTGACTGATGGGACAGTTTGGTTGGGGTGGTGAGGGAGAATGACTAAAGGAGTGACATTGATCAAGATTCATTATACATACAAACTGACATGTTGTGTTAAAACCCTTTGCATGTTGAATTGAAACCCTATGCACAGCTACTTAAGGATAATAAAATAAACAATACAGGATGGAAAAAGGAAGTTGGGGCAGCACAGTGGAAATGCAGAGAAGCAGGGCTGTAATTGTCCTGTTGTTGAAGTACAGTATTGTTTTTCTTGATCTCACTTGTTTTCTGTTTTACTAGTTCACCAAGACTGACTCTTCTGATTAGAAGCAAACTATGACCATATAAACAGGAGTTGTTTATGATTTCTATGAACCTCCATTTGAAACCGGCATTTATTAACCTGTACCAGAAACATTACTGCCATGCACAAAGCTATGACCAACTTTTCCTTCCAGCAATAATAAGAAACTTAAACCTGGAAATAGGTTCTCATAGGTGAAACGTAAGAATAACTCATCTAGAAACAGAAGAGTGACAGGGAGGAATGTGATTTTCTCCATTTATCTCTGAAAGTGTATCAGTACCTTACCTTCTACCCATCTTTAAACATAGGGTATCTATAGGAGATTCAAACTAATACAACTAAATATATTACAAGATTTCCCAGTGGGGTACAAATAACTTTTCAGTAGCAGAGATTTTGAAAGTTAAATACCAAGTCAGCCTTTGTGGCACATTTCTGTAATACTAGTTACTTGGGTGGAAAAGGCAGAAAGATCGGAAGAAGCAGGGTGTTATTGGTTCATGACTATAACCCTACCTATGTAGGAGTTTGAGATGTAAGGATTCAGGTTTGAAGCAAGCTTGGCAGGAAAGTCCATGAGTCAGTTATTTCGAATTAACAAACTAATAGAAGTGGAGCTAGGTTTCCGGTGTAGAGAGTTAGCCTAGAGCCAAAATCTAAGGGATAATGCTACTTCTTGAGTTCAAGAACCAGTAAGGGCACCAGAACAACAACAACAGCAACAACAAAAAGATTGGAAGTTTAAAGCCAAAGCTTTGAGAAAATTTTACTTTTGTCTCAAAAACAAAATACAAATGAAAGAGCTGGAGCCTGAGTATCAAGTGGTAGAAGGCTTGCCTAGCAAGTATGAAAGCTGAATGAATAGATGTCAACTCAGTTTCTCTGTTTAGTATAATGAACATTCCTCAGTATTGGTATTATCTTCAGAGACAAGCTCTTTAATCTCTAGCAAGCCTCTTTAACAATGTCCTGCAATTTAAATCTATTCTCTGCTATAAGTGCTTAAAGTAAGCCTGATGTGGGGGGAAGATTATAAATAACAGAGCTGTCTAGATAAAATCACCAGGCTGTGATTTATTTACATAGATTTCCTCCCCTTTTAAAACGCCTGTGCAGTCATAGTACACTTTTGATATTTTTCAAGTCACTAAATAAGGAATTACTAAGCACTTTTTCATTTGCAATTGCTTCTCAAAAGTTATGTAAGTTCCTAATATATGTATGTGTATCATATGTGTGCATATAGGAATCTGAAATGTTCTTGTGACATTATTTAAAATGTAACATAATAGCCTCTATTTGCCCCAATATGGACAAACAGGAAAATTAAAAATTAATGAAAGGTACCACTGAATTCTTTGATTGGAGGCATATAAAGAGAATCTTGCCTCTAAAATGAATTTGTTATTTATGAGTCTATAAAATATGCTTTCTTCCAAAACACCAAGTAAAAAAATATATAGGTAGAAAGACTTATATGAATGTTCTTAAATGTATATTTGTGCTATTAGAGATTACTTGTGGTGCTCTAAATGATATGTACTGTGTTATATAGTATACATTTTGAATTAGGTTCTCAAAGCAATGGATTACCTAAGTGATTAAGAATTTCCTGTGTTAGAAACAAACTATACAACTTGGGAGGAATGTACGTTGGGTGGGAAAAAACAGAGAAAACGAGTGACACTGTTTGAAAAGAAATGTACTCATTACCTAACTTATGTAGCTGTAACCCCTCTGTTTACTTTTACAATAAAAAAATTCCTATCAAGTCCAAATGAGAAATCTCAACCCCAGTGTGAGAAGCAATTAGCAGTAATCACCACTAGCCTGTGATGTTCATACCACAAGAACTCAAATTCCAAAGGCAGTCATACATTGTGCATATAAATGCTAATTCCTGACTAGATTGTCAGACTTCTACTGACTTGTGATCCATCATTGTTGCTTTATTTGTTGCAAAGGCAAGTTGGGCTTATATGAATTTCAAGGATGCCATTTTCATTTTAATATTTATTGCCACTGAAATTCATGATTTAAGATATGTATGATAAGAACTTTCCCCATAGAAAAAATCATTCAAAACCAAACAAAGCCCTCTTATATATCCCAGATGAAATCTTTCTTTCTTATATGAAACAAAAATTAAATATGTTTGACACTTAGATGTTTGAAAAGATACTGGGATTAAGAATATGAAAGGGGGCTCATCTAGCACAGCAGACTTGCTCTGCATTATCAGCATTCTTTTGAAAACTCTTCTGTCTTATTGAAATTAGATGCCTTAACATAATCATATAAATAAATTATGATCAATAAGGAATCAGTATTGCACAAGAGGCCTGAATAAGTTCAACTTTCTTTTTGCTAGTACATTTTGTTCTGTGTTTTGATGAAAATTCTTTTTAATCTAGAATGTATTGCCAAAATATATTGGCTATTAAATATGCCTTTAGAGCTAAGTTTGTAAAAGCATTGCACATTTCCCATCCTTTTTTTCTGACTCACCTTTGAAGGAAAACTTCAAAGGAAATAAAGAAATATCTACAAGTAAGTATGCTTATGATCATTAAGTGCTGGATGGCTGAGCATGCATGATGGATAAATCACAGCAAATAAATGACAGTAGCATCTACCATATTATATAATATGCAAAAATTTGACAAAGGAAAGGCAGATGAGACTGCTGATTTCAGCAATGTGTTCTATTTAATAACTATTATTAAATGTCTACTAAATAACATCACTAAACTGTATGAATGCCTTAATTCTTTTAAGGTGGTGAAGTAGATTTTTCAAGTGAGTCAAAAACATACTAGCCAGAGATAACAAAGGGATATGATTAGACAGCATGGTGTGAACAGTAACTTACAAACATAGTAATTCATCTGAATACCAAACTGTGCAACAGCAATGTTCTTAAATCTACACTAACATTTGAATAACAAGCAATATATATCTACTTTCATCTGAATGAAAGCAACAAGTCCCTTTTCAGGAATATAGCCACACTTTCAATATTACCATCATCAACCACCATGGAACAAAGCAATGAGGTCTTATATTTCAGAATTGCTCTAATAAATGATCCTTTTAGATTTCATGTGCAAATTAAACGAAGCCATCTTACAGGTTGCAAACTAAGTCAAGGTTTATCTGTGAAAAATAGATCAAAATGCTTAAAAGATGAGAAGGAGTTATTGGCATACGTGTCCCTTTATAAATTACAATAAGGACATTTTATTGCTATAAAAATAGTAGATTAAGTAAATTGGAGATAAAATGGGCCTATTAATTATTAGTGTTAATGTTTGCAAGCAAGAGCAGATTTCCCTAGACTGAAGACAGACATATACAAAAGCTTCAGTTAGCATACAGTCTGCAAACATCAAGTAGAGGTATTACATCAGTAGTGAGGAAAATTAGATATTGATACAAAGTACCCGTATCAATACAGAATCTTGTATTGTATTTTCAAATATCAGATACATGTCAGGAGCTTTTCCAAATTTAAGCTACTCTGTTGATGTACGATGTAGAAAATGTAATCTAAGTTTCAATGCATTTTTAATTTTATTCAATCTTGCATTTGTTCAACCAAAAACATTTTAAGGAGTCCACAGCTATCAGCTTTAGATTATGTTCAGTTTCTCACTAGGTTGCCCTTGATTCGGCCATAAAAATCAATAGTGTGCATCTAATCGTGTTCTTCTAATTTGGGCACTGAAAAGTGAATCATCTCCTCAAATATTCTTCAGGGCCTTTGGTTTGCAGATTAAACACGAAATGTGACCTGTCATTTAGACACATTCTCTACATTTTCATTTTAAATAATCATAAATAAAAAAAATAAACACAGCCTTGCTAATCTTTGGCACACATAGCTGTTTGATTCAGCTGAGTTTCCAAGTCTTAGAAATTGCACACATTCCTTCCTTAGAGTCCTGCTTCACCTCCAAGCTTTTCAGCTGAAAGATTCCTTATTGTATTCAAATTTTGTACCATAGGAGTTGTTCTCATTACTCAATTTATGAAGAGCCTTGGAAATGGAACTGGGTCCACAGCAGAAAACACCAACTGTTTTCCTGGAAAGAGAGGGAGGGGAGGGAAAATCAGGTGGAAAATAAGAAAGTGTTAAGATGCATTTTTACAAACATGGATGCAAGGTATTAACGAGGGTTACTCTGGGCTACTTTGTGTACTGAAAACCCAGTGATTTCTATCATCAATGACCACCAGAAAAAATGTATTTTAATTACCTTGTGCTTTTCATACTGGAATTCAGGAAATTTCAGAAAATGTAAATCTGGGTACAGATTGGCTCATGATCAAAAATTGAGCAGTGTGTCCTAGGATTCTTTTATTTCATGTCATTTGTCACACCAGAAAGTATATTATGAAAAATAACCCAAATAATTCTAGTTTCCAACAGCTAAAAACATTTTAGTTTGTTGACATTTTTTAATTTTAATTTTTTGGTGCTGGAACTAGAGCTTGAACTTAGTCTCTCTTGGCTTTTTCACGCAAGGATGGTCCTCTCCCATTTGAGTCACTCCTCCACTTCCAGAATTTGTGCGGGTTCATTGGAGATAAGTGTTTCACAGACTTTCCTGCACCAGCTCGTTTTGAATCATAATCCTCAGATCTCAGCTTTCTCAGTGCTAGGATTACAACACCTGGCTTGCTGATTCTTTTTTAATTAGCCACTTGTTACAGGCTTATTTTTTAATATTTCCAAGTGAATACAATGAAAGAGGGAATGGTTTTACCAAAGACAATTTTAAATGACTAATTTTCCACACAGAACAAAACATATTAATCAGGATACATTTTCCTTGTTATTTAGGTACTACAATAATTGTAATAAATGTCAAATTGTAAAAAAATGTTATAATTCCTAACACAAAATTTCAGTAATTAATAAATATGAAATTAATAGTATTGCAAATTGATCTTCCTCCAAAGTCTCTTGATTTGCAAAGGCTTCTTGCTGGGATATCAATGTGATTAACATTTCTATCATACCTGGAACAAATATAGTATATCCTCATTACCACAGAATAAAAATTTCTGCCAGAAAAAAATGATGGAATCTACTTAAATTTTACTGACATTATGCAAATACTAAAAAATGTTTCATTAAATTTTTACCTTGAAAGATTAAATAAAGAACTAGAAAAATACAACTTTTTTTCACTGGAAGCAGTGGAAAACAGACTACATTTATCCTACTGTATTAAAAACTAAAAATGGGGCTGGGTACTGGTGGTTCACATTGGTAATCCTAGTTACTGAGGAGGCTGAGATCTGAGGATCTTGCTGTTGTTTACATTGTACTTATAATGTACTACGTGATTTTTTTTGTTTCTTTTGTATGTTCTTCCCCCATGACATAACCAGTTTTCACTGTATTTGATTCTGGTGCCCTGCATCTTGTATATACATTTTTTCTAATTTGGGGAGGGGAAGGGAAATAACAAAATGCTGAAATAAGGATACAGGATGACCCATTGTAACAATGAGATATACAAGACACTATTGAAAATGAACTTTACAACTTGGTGCGGGGGAGGAATTTGGGAGGTGGGGAGGAAAGGGATGGTAGGGGAAAAACAAAGGAGGGGGTAAAATGTGCAATAGGAAATGTACTCATTACCTTGCTTATGTAACTATAACTCCTCTGTTCAGTATCTCTCTCTCTCTCTCTCTATATATATATATATGTGTGTGTGTGTGTGTATGTGTATATATATATATATTTATATATATACACTCTAAAAATGGGGCTGGATACTGGTGATTCACATCTGTAATCCTGGTTACTGAAGAGGCTGAGATCTGAGGATCACAATTTGAAGCCAGCTGAGACAGAAAAGCTTATGAGGCTCTGATCTCTAAATAACCAGCAAAAAGCTGGAAGTGGTATAACTCAAGAGTCAGAACACCAGTCACAAGTGAAAAAGCCAAACAACAGCACAAGGCCTGGAGTTCAAGCTCCAGTCCAAAATATTAAAAATAAGACTACTGATGTTTTCGTGGTAGTGCACATATCTAGCATGTGTGAAGCCCTTGGTTTGATCCATAGTATTGGAAGGATAGTAACAAAAGAAAAAAAATATTTTCAGACACTGAGCACAGAAAAATGATACCTGAGAAAAAAGAAAAGGAAAGCAAGCTAAGCCCAGCAGTTGTCTCTTCTCATTTCCTACAGGCAAGCTACAGGTTACAACACAGAGACAGTCAATCCAAGCATTCACTCATAGAATAGACAAAAATGGGGTTCATGGGGAGCAAACAAATGAGAAGCTGTGGAGAAGAACATAGAAGGGAAAGGATATCCTCAAAAAGAAAATCCAATGTCTAACAGAGAAGATTCATCAATTGTTTAGTGCAAGAGTATTCTGCTCATATGTGAAAGGAGGCTGCATATGAGATTGGCTGCAGAAACAACCAGGGATCCACCTTCCAAACAATTTTCAGATTTGACGCAAGGCTGTAAGCAGTTCAGTACCTTAGGTAATCACAATTGCAGGGAAGTAGGTAGTATTCTCAGAAAAGCATCACTATACTTACCAAGGTTGTAGAGAAAATTAGCCTTACATTGTTGGCTACTCCAGGCCCACATATTGAATCTTAAGGAAATTTTGGAGTAATCCATCTGAACCCAAGTAATAAATGACCTACCTGCCTGAACAAGTCCAACCGAAGTGAAAAGAATAAGTCAAATTTGGCATCTAAAATGAACACCATCAGATATTACCAGGAAGGACAGTAAGGTCTGTGTATATGTAGCTGCCATCATTGCTATCAAACACTCTCTCTCTCTCTCTCTCTCTCTCTCTCTCTCCAAAAAGAAAGAAAATGTCAACTATAGCAAAGGTTCTTACAAGCTTGTTGGGTTCCCTCTAAAAATTGATACACTGAAGCCCTAACTCCAGTGTCTCAGAATGAGACTTTTGTTGGAGACTGGACTTTAAAGATGTGATGAATTTATGAGACTATCCATGTGAACCCAAATAAAATCTAACCAGCATCTGTATAAGAAGAGGAGACACTGGGGCTGTGCATGGAGATGGAGATGATACAGCCATCTGTAAGACAAGGAGAATCCTTGGTAAGCTAAGACTAGCGACACCTTGGCCTTGAAGTCCCAGCTTCCAGAATGTGGAGAAAAATTCTTTTATTTAATACTCTGCATCTGTGATCTTTTAAAAAAAATCATAACCTTTGTAAAGCAATGTAAAAAGAAAGGTCATCCAATAGAAATATGTCAATATAAACAAAAATTATGTAATCGTCACATAAGGTCTTGTGAATAGTGATAATATGTTCATTTCTTATGTCCAAAGGAAAGAATCCATAGGAGTAGAAGAGTGATGGAAGATTGATTTAAAGTTCCAAATACAAATTCTAGAAATAAAATCCAATTTTTGTAACAATACTGGGTAAATTAATACAATAAGATGCATGGAAGAAATAATACACACAAAAGCAAAGATAAATACACTTACAAACAGAGCATTAGCATCAATACAAACTGAATCCTACAAAGAGAAGGTTAAGCAAGTGGAGAATGGCCTATGGGACAACAACAATTTGTCTAACATAAATGTGATGGTGTCCCAGCAGGAGAGAATACAGAGGGAGAAGACGAATACATGGGTGAAATAATTACCAAAAGCTTCTCCAAATTTGATACCAACAAACTCACAAGTGGAAGGGTTTTATGAAACCCCAAGTCATAAAACCAGTATGAATAAAGTAAAGCTGACTGATAATAAAATGCTGAAAATTAATCCTGAAGAGAAAAATTTTAAGTCATGAGAAGGAAGAAAAGACCCATTGAAGACTATAACCAAAGGGTAAACAGTACATGTCAGAAAACATTGAGATGTCATTGTCAAAGTGTGTGGAAGATAAACTAAAATATTAGGTTTTCTACATCAAGCAATTAGTGTGCTAAAAAGAAATGTGTTCAAAATGAAAATGAAAGAAAAACTTTTCAGAATAACAAAATTCAAGTGAATTTATTCCCAACAAAGAAGCACTATTGCGTCATTGATAGAAATTTCTCCAAAAAAAAGAAGAGAATTGAAATCAAGTGGAAATTTAAATCTACTCCGAGAGGTGAAAAGCACCAAAGTCATACATCTGTGAGTAAATATAAAGTCTACGTTTTTTCTATTTTCGAATCTCTTTAATACATGACTCATAACCCATAACACATGACTTTTTCAAGCAAATATGTCAAAACAGATTTTACCACCTGTGTAGGGGTCAGATGAATGACAATGATGGCAGAATGGAAGTACAGAAAGTGGTACAAGATTGTTTCAAGTAGACCTTAATAAGCTAATGTGTTTGTTGTATATGTAGAACAATAGTTTCGATTTAACGCAACCAGAATTACCTTAAGGCCTTCAGATAAAATAAAGAGTTAGATCACAGAAGGTCTTAAAAAGAGTTATCATATTCAATGTACACATGTGGATATGAAAGTAGATAAATTGAGGCTATAAGTGGCATTTGAAGAGATGAGAGAGAATGATGAATGAGTGACATTGACCAAGATTCATTATGCTCACAAACAGACATGGTGGATTGTAACTTCTTTGTGCAACTATTTAAGTATATTGAAAAATAGGCAATTGGAAAAATAAAGTGGTTACTTTTCTAACAAGCTCCCAGTTAATATTGGGTGACAAAATGCAGTTTGAAAACCTGTGGCCTAAGGCAAGTACTGAAAGAAATAAGCGAACAAATACAGGGGTGTGGCTATTTTGCCCATATGGTAGAAAAATGCAATAATAAAAATATTCAATTAATTCAAATAAAATATGAAAAATATAAATATTAAAAATTTAAAATGAACAAATAAGATAATCAAAAGCAACAATAAGCCACAATATTTAAATCTCACCACCTTATTTTATATTAGATTAAGTATAAATTGTTTAAACACTATAATATAAAGCTTCAGTACACATAAAGAAAAAATGGACAGAAATGCAAAGACATAAATCCAAAAATATAGTTGACAATATAGACATTCCTCTCTCAGTAACTGCTAAAAGGACAGAAAATC